GCCACCTGCAGAGCATGGCCTCATGGGGACTCTAAACACATGTGATCTTGCATGCTCTACTTGTAAGAGCCTGTTCCAAAAGGAGCAAAAGCCCACAAAAGAAGAGATTCAGTTGAGCAAAGGATCTTCAACAAACCCTGAGGAGGCTGTTGTGCTCCAAGTGTTCCAGGCCAGGATGGTGACTTAGGAGGGCCACACCTACTTCAGCCAGTGGCTCCTGGAGCCTGCTGAGGAGGAGCTGGTTGCCTTGTGCACAAATCTAAGCCTGGGGCTTGAGATGACTCAATTGTTCTTGCTCTGGAGATGATTAGTCATCCAGAGACACAGGATGTAGAAACCCAGAGAAGCGGTTATTAGAGTTTCTGCCTGTTGTCTGGATGGGCCAGGGAGTGAAGCTGGGGGCTCTGCCATTGGCCATGGCTGAGGTGGTCACAATCTGAGCAGTGGAGGACACAGAGAAAGACAGTGACATGCCCTGGAGGCCCCGAGACCCAAGGCCCAGCAAAGAAGTTGAGGCTAGCAAAGAAAGAGGCAACCACTTTAGGCATCACTATGGGACACACCCAGGAGTGGTGTTGGGGCCAGAAGTCCTAGTCCTGGGTGGTCCTTTCTGCTGCCAGCCTCCCTCACGGGAACTTCTTTAGTCCAGTAGGGACACAGGAGGATAATGGGATCAGGGAGGCTCATCCTGACTGCAGCTTCAAACAAATCTCCTGAAACACTGAAGCATTTTCATTCCTTTCCTTTTTCTGCCCTTCCCCACGGGCCAATTCCTGTCTCCCACTGGAATTGAACAACGTGGAAATAAGAAGATAATGGAGGGAGACTTGCAATTAGTGGGAGTAAAAAAAGAACTAAAGGACTTGGAAGATAACCAGTTGTAGGCTTGAGAGGTACATTCCTCATCAGGTGATAAAAGGAATGTGTTGATTTTAGTTGACATGGAGAAGGAAACAGAGCAAGCAGCTCAGGACTTCACTGAGGAACCAGCTGGGCAGGGGAGTTCACCTTTTGAGCAGTAGTACTTTTCACTTTATTTAAACCACTTTTAAACTTTTATTATTTATTATAAGTAATATTTAAACCACTTTGGACAGAAAGTGTTTGATACAGTGCTGTGCCTCCTGAAACTTGGGAGATCACAGAATTTTTAGTCTTGGAGTTGTCACTGTGCGCATCAGATATGACGATACCTTCTTGAATGTACAAAAGGAGACATTCAAACAGCTCTAGGCTGGAACTGAATGATTTGGAAATAAGAAGATAATGGAGGGAGACGTAATTGTGCCCTAAGCTAGGCATAATTTTTGTTTTCTTAAAGAAATTAACCAGGGAACACTCAGAAAGTAGGAATAAGGGAGAATCTCCTCCACCTGAGAATGGGTGCTGTGGTCTGTCTGTTTCCCCTTAAAATTCATATGTTGAAATCCTAACATATGGGGTTTCTATTGGGGATGGTGTTAGAAGGTGGACAGTATTAGAAGGTGGACATTTGGTAGATGATTAGGCCATGAGGGTGGCGCCCTTATGAATGGGATTAGTGCCCTTATAGAAGAGGCTCAAGAGAACTCCCTTACTCATTTCACCATGTGAGGACACAGAGAAAAGATCAACTAGAAAGTGGGCCCTCACCAGACACTGAATCTGTTGGCACCTTGATCTTGGACCTCCCAGCTTCCAGAATTGTGAAAACGACTTGTCTATTGTTTATAAGCCACCCAATTTATTATATTTTGTTATAGCAGCCTGAATGAACTAAGACAAACGGCATTTATAAGAAGCCCACAGCCAAAAAAGATAAAAGACTGAAAGCTTTCTCCCTAAAAATCAGGTACAAGAAAAAAATGTTCATTTTTGGCACTTCATTGCACTGGAGCTTTCAGCCAGGGGAATTGGCCAGGAATAAGAAATAAAAAGCATCCTGACTAGAAAGGAAGACATAAAAGTACCTCCATTTGCAGATGTCATAATCTTGTAGAAAATCCTAAGGAATCCCCTAAAAAATATTAGAACTACTAACTAAGTTCAGCAAGGTTGCAGAACACAAGATAAGTATATAAAATCAATTCTATTTCTATACGATAGCAAAGAATGATCTGCAAATGGAATTAAGAAAACAATTACATTTCCAGTAGTATAAAAAATGATAAAATACTTAGGAATAGATTTAAACAAAGTAGCATAAGTATATACACTGAAAACTATAAAACATTGAAGAATTTCAAAAGAGTTAAATAAATATAAAGAGTTTGTGAATTGAAAGACTTAATATTGTTAAGATGGAAATACTTCCCCAAGTGGTCTATGAATTCAATATTCAATACAAGTTCTGTCAAAACTCCAGTTGTCTTGTGTGTATGGGTCGGGGCGGGGAGGGTGTGTGTGTGTGTGTGTGTGTGTGTGTGTGTGTGTAAACTGACAAGTGATTCCAAAGTATGAAAATGCAAGGGACCCAGAATAGCCAAAATAATCTTGAAAAAGAAAAAAAGAATAAAGTTGGAGGATGCATGCAAAGATTTTTAAAACTCCTATAAAGCTACAGTAAGCAAGACTGTGTGGTACTGGCATAAAGATAGACATAGAGATTAATAGAACAGAATTGTGAGTCCAGTAATACACCCAAATATCTGGAGTCAATTTATTTTCAAGAAAAGTTCCAAGAACATTCAATGGGGGAAAGAATAGTCTTTTCAACAAATAGTACTGAAACAACTATATATTCACATGCAAACAAATGAAGTTGGACCCCTGCCCCACACAGTATACAAAAATGAACTTAAAATAGATCGTAAACCTAAATATAGGAACTAAAACAGTCTATTATTAAGAAAGTGAAAAGACAACTCACCCAGTGGGAGAAAATATTTGCCAATCATATATCTGATAAGGAAATTATATCCAGAATACATAAAGAACTCTTACAACTCAACAACAAAAAGAAAAAAAAATAAAAATAGGCAAAAGGTCTGAATAGACATTTCTCTGAAGAAGGTATTTGGATAAACAGTTAATACATGAAAGGATATTCAACTTCATTGGTCATCAGGGAAATGCAAGTCAAATCACAATGAAATGTTACTTCACACCCATTAGAATAGCTATAATCAAAAAGGCAGACAATAACAAGTATTGGCAAAGATGTGGAAGAACTGAACGCCCCATAAGATTGCTGGTGGGAATGTAATAGGGTGTCCTGATCTTGGAAAGTAGTCTGGCAGTTCCTTAAAAACTTAAACATAGAGTTATCATATGATCCAGCAATTCTATGCTCAATTACAGTATGCTCAAGATAATTGAAAATATATGTCCACACAAAAATTCATACATGTCAACATTATGTGTAATAGCCAAAATGTCTACCAGCTGATGAATGGATAAATAAAGCATGGTATACTCATACAATGGAATAGTGGCCTTAAGGAGGAATGAAATACTGATACTGATAAACATCAATGAACCTGAACCTTAAAAGCATTGTGCTCACTGAAAGAAGCCAGACCTAAAGGCCACATATTGTGTGATTTCATCTACCTGAAATGTCTAGAATAGGTAAGTCTGTAGAGACAGGAAGTAGATTAATGGTTGCCTAGGGCTGAGGGCTGTGGTAACATGGGAAGTGACTACCAATGCACATGAGCTTTCTTTTTAGGGTGGTAATAATGTTCTGGAATTAGATGGCAGGGATGGTCGCAAAATTTTGTAAATATACTAAACACTACTGCATTGTATATTTTAAAGTAAATGAATTATATGGTATGTGAAATTGATCTTGATCAAGCCATTAAAGAAAAAGGGGGAAAAAATAACTGAGGAAGGTGAAAATTTGGGCCACCCAGAGATATGGAGGCCAGTCAGAATTTTTCTGTTGTTCCTTTGTTCTCGATACAAAATGATATTGTATTAAAAATGGTATTATATGGCTGGACACAGTGGCTCATGCCTGTAATCCCAACACTTTGAGAAATTGAGGTGGGCGGGATCACCTGAGGTTAGGAGTTGGGGACCAGCCTGACCAGCATGGTGAAACCCCGTCTCTACTAAAAATGCAAAATTAGCCGGTCATGGTGGCATGTGCCTGTCTGTAATCCCAGCTATTCAGGAGGCTGAGGCAGGGGAATCACTTTAACTCGGGAGGTGGAGGTTACAGTGAACCTAGATCGTGCCACTGCACTCCAGCCTGGGCAACAGAGTGACTTTGTCTCAAAAAAAAAAAGATATTATACATCTTCTAAATGCCGCCACCCTAGCTTTAGCCCTCTAGCTGATAACTGCATGGTGATCAGTTTCTGAATGGATCATGAATTATTTTTTCACATGTCTGACCAGCACTGAACACTTTCCTCTGCCCTTACAATGTTTGGTTGGTTACTTCAGGCTCCAAGGGAGAATTGTTCCTTGCCTTTTTCAGCTTCTAGCAGCCATCTGTATTCCTCGGCACATGACTCCTTCCTCCATCTTCAAGGCCAGTAGAATAGCATCTTCCAATCTCCCACCATCTATCCCAGAATTCTGCCACCATATCGACTTTTCCTCTTCCATAGTCATCTTTCTTCCCCTCTCTATCTCTGTCTCTTTCTTTCATATTTATAAGTATCTTATAAGGATTCTTGTGATTGCATTTAGAGCCCACCCAGATAATCCAGGATAATCTCCCCATCTCAATCACATCTGCAGAACCCCTTTTGTAATGCAAGGTGTTAGTAACAACTACATGCTGTTCCAGAAGATAAGCCTAAGAATTTACGGGAGTCATTATTCAGGCACCCACAGAGGTGGTGACATGCAGTTGTAAGTCCAAGACCCCACTAGAGGGCTGTGGAATGAGTGAGTCCCTCTCTGAACTTTAGTTGCAACATTACAACCAACTGGCATTACCTTTGGACAAAAGTTTTCCTAGGAATTTTGCCTGCACTGTTGTTCTGTTTGTTGCAATCATGTGAAATTGATCTTTGTGTGGCAGGTGCACACAGACCTTGCCTGGATCTTTTTGAAACCAGTGGTAGATGGCCAAGATTCGTTTTCATTTATTTCCCATGCAAAAGGCAAAGTTGCCAACTGTTTGGTGAATATTTCAGAGCTCTAGCCTAGAAGCTCTGGAACCCTGGCTGCTTGGATAAGCCACAGGTGCGCTACTTCTCCGTGCAGTGACTTCCGCTACTGTCCTTTGATCTCTGATGTTGGCTCTGTGCTGATTTTCTCTTGCCTCCCTCGCTTTCTGCTATCTGCACATCTCAATGAGTCAGCTGTGACTGCCTCCGTGAGGTCCCCATGTTCCCCGAGTTTGTAGCTTTTGTTGTGCTGTCAGGACAGGGAAGCAGCTTGTACCACTGTGGGGAAAGTAGAAATAGATAAGCCTTGTTGAGGGGCCTGAGAAAGGACCTTTCCTGTTCTCTCCTTGCATATTGTGAGTAGACTTTGATATTTCTCTTTTGACGCCTGAGATGTTTTGTGGAGTTAGTTCCACGTTTTCTGTAACATCCCGGATACACGAGGTTGCCAGATCGCTGGATTCTGAATAACTGAAGCATCCCAGCATCAGTCATCCTCTAAGTAAACCCAATGCCCTGAGGCTGCTTCTGTTTTCAGCTTGTTCTGGCTACAGAGGTAATGAGTCTCCTACTGCCTCTTCATTACCAAGATCATTCCGAGCCAGGAAAATAGAGACAAGAAGGGAATGAGAGGTTTCTGTAGAATTTGATCCTCACTTTTCTTGAGATCTTTGCTCTGCACAAGACAAAAACAGATGTTTTGCCAGCTTTGCCATCTGTTGTGGCTCCAGATGACACGTCTCAGAGGTTCCTGTGACACTTTCATGTTTGTGGAGCTCCTGCCTCCCCTTGCCCGTGAAGGTCCTTCCACAACAACACACCAGGGCAGCAGCATGCGCTTCAGCAACCACCATCCAAATTGATATGTCCAAGACTACCTGGTCGGAACTCATTGCTGTGCTTCCAAACCCTCTTCACAGTAATAATTACGGTCATAGCAGCTGCCATCTCTGGAGCACCCAGCATTGTGCTGAGGGTTAACCACTTATTGTCTCTTCTACCTATGAAAATAACCTTCTGAAGAGGCTAGTAATATTCCCATTTTAAAGATCAGGAAACTGAGGCTCACAGACATTAGCTTGCCAAGCATCCTAGTTATTGAGTGACAGATCTGGGATGTGAATACTCCTCTGTCTGGTTTCAAGGCTTATGCTCTTACATTAGCTGTATCTATGGGTGAGACTGCTTCTTAGGACCAAGGGTAATTCTGCAGAGGGGCTATGCAAGAGGCCACAGTATTTGCCTCTTGCAGCAGTTAAGGGAAGCAGCTTTTACATACCGTTTCATGGCCAGCAGGTGTAATTCTGCCATTTGTGTGTAAAGCTGGTGAGGTTTTCCATCCTAAGTCTTAGAACTCATGATTTCCTTCATCAGACTCTCTTTGCCAGCCTGAAGCAACATATCTGAGCCCATTGTAAACTGAACCTTGACCAGGACTTTTATTATCTGGGTCTCAAATTCACCCCCTCTAATGGAATGCACAATCATGTTTCAGGTCCCCAGATATCAATTCAGCAACAATCCATGTTGAGCATCTTCAAAATGTTTTGCCATTTACCCTTCTCTAGAGTACAGTTGCCTAAGTAAATGGCTGCAGGTCCCTTTGGAGGAAGGCCTGGGAGATCAGCTTCTTCTTCAGTCAGTCTTGCCCTGAGCTTCCTGATGAGACATCCTTGGCTTATTTTCGTTGTATAAATTGAGCAATAATACTTTGTTGGCTGCCTTTTTTTCCGCTTGAATGCAAATTTCTTTCTACCATTTCCATAGCTGTCTGTGGGTCAGATCCCCCTAGCTGTCACACTCACTTTGCTGCCCCTTATGATAATTACATTGTGATAACTACAGACACCTTGCATTGAACAATAAGTATAACGTCTAACAGTCCCATAGTTACTAGGGAGCCCCGTTCTATATCGGCTACCTTTGGATATCACACAATAGTCTTGGCCTTCAGAGAAGAGCTCCTACTGAGTTTCTTCACGATACCTGCCCTCACACCAGCATATTTTTCTTACTTTGGCAAATGCAGCATTCTTCTAGGCCCTCTTGTAAAAACCTATCAGCTGTTCAGTTCTCTGACCTTGTGTGGTATATCCACTCTAGCTTGCCTATTTTCTGAGCCTTTCCATCTCTTCCTTCCCCATCCTCCATGATCTGACATCTCCATTTGACTTGGCATCACATTTTCTAAGCTCCCAACTCCTGGGGTCCTTGCCAGGATGTTAAGCGTTGCGTCAAAGGAGAGTGCTTCCATAGCAATACATTTTCCCCATCAAGCTTTGCTTTCATCCCACTTTGTCCAGCACTCTCTCTAATCCCTCCTGCACATGCTCTTGTGCCCTTGTGGGACGTGTTGGCTGGGTCCCACAGCTCTCTGGGCTGTAGTCCATTTCCTCCCTTAGCACGTTTACACTTTTCTGGCTGGATTATGTTGTGTCTTGACCTTACTTATGGGTCTGGTGGCCAAGAGTAGATATATGAGGGAATAGGGAGGGAGCTGTCATCCATTGTCTTGCAAAGCAGAACCTCATCATCATCTTCATGCAAAAGCAAGCATTAGCCTTCAAGGAGAAGAGTGGGATATTGTTCCAGGCCTAGAGAATTCCAGGGGATCTGGGAACTTGAGATGTTTTCACATATAAACCCAATGTCCCCATCCCATTCTTTCCTAATCACAGAACTGACTTTGGCCTAGCAGACTGCCAGGACAAAACTTCAATGTTGCTTTGAGCATTTCTACTCTTATAATTAAACCTGGGGCCTGATTCTCAGCTATATCTGCCCTTCAGTTACAGAGAATGATAGTCTTTTCATAGGCTTCATATAAAAGCTAAGAGGCCCTCTAGTTTGTATACCTTGCCTTATATTGCTGTTTAATCACTTAGTCTTTTATTAAATTTCTCCAGTGACTTAAAAGCTTCTAGCAACAACCATCTGATTCCATAGTTCTTATAATTACTATTTCCCCCAAAACTGTTAAACACCTGAGATCTCACATCTGCTAGAGCAGTTTCTTCCCAGGTATCATGTCCTAGTTCACCACCAGTGAAATTTTTAACAAGGGAATCATAACTGCAAGTGCCTACTGCCAGTGATGAGAGCCTCACTGCAGCAGCTAGCAGGTGACAGCTCCAACATGCTACTGGGTCCAACGTTCATAAGTCAAGTTCTGCAGCAAACAAACTTTGTGCGGGAGGTTTCCTGGGAGTGGTCTCAGTACCAACCCCTGTGAGGGCTGAGGGAAACAGAAGTGGGCAGGGGGGATAAACTATGATCCAGGTGCAACAACAGACTCAGCCAATCCCATGGGGAGCTCTGGAACTGGACTTTTTCCAGTTGAGGCAAAAGGGCTGGAACCCTGTGCCCCTTCATCAACGAGTAAGAGGATGCAGGCTGCCTCCAGGTAAGGGGTGTATCTTTGGGTGAGACTGCTTTTAGGACCAAGGGTAATTCTGCAGAGGGGCTCAGCAGAGGCCACGGTATCGACCTCGTGCAGCAGCTAGGGGAAGTGGTGCTCCCATCCTGACGGCACATCTGGGTGCTGTGTCCCTTCACTTTTTCTCTCCAATGAGAAAGAGCAGGAAATAAATTTTTTAAAAAACTAGCCTCTTTGTTTATTTTTTAAATGATTGTTCTTGTGATTGTAATTTGCAACCGTAATATAAAATGTACTGAATCCACCTTCTACCACATCAGATATGAGGTTTTAACTGTATATTCGCATTTACCTGCTTCTCCATCTTTGGTGCTATAAAGCCATATATTTTACTTCTATACATGTCATAAACCCCATAGCATATTGCTACTATTTTTGCTGTAAACAATTACCTTTTAAGGAAATTAAGCAATGATGAAAAACAGTCTTTCATAGTACCTTGCATATTTGCCCTTTTGGGTGCTCTGCATTTCAGTATCAGTAGAGATACCTTGCTGATCTTGTCAGTAGTTCAGCTAAGAAGAGATTAAATTGTGATTGCAGATGCCCTTGGTTCCTCATGAGCTAAACTCTGGGATACTGAATCCAAGCACCATGGGGCACGTTTTCCAGTTTCTCTTCTACTGCCACCTTCTCAACAAAATTTGCGACTGGGTGTGGTAGAGGCGGGCTGAATTACTGGGCTGAGTGCTTTGTTTGGGGCTCCTCCAGGTGCCATCCACCCCGCCAGCTGGCACAGTCAGGCTCAGCTGAGTCCCCCCAACCCTGCAGAGTCTCCCTGGCTCCAGCAGGACCCTCCTTCATCCACTAATTCGGGGATCTGGCTGCCTTCCCCACTATGGAAGCTGCTCACCATAGTGGGCTCACTTCTCTCTGGAGTTCAGGTCATCCAAGATTTCTTGCCTCCCACTGCTCTTAACAAGCCTGGTGGAAAAGCACACTTTTTATTTTTGTCCCAGTTTTTCTTCTTGTTCTCTGAAAGAAAAAGGTCTTTCCCATTCTCTTACGTTCTAACCAGAAGAAGAGGTCTTCTGCTTGTTTGGTCTTTGCTCTCTTTCCCCCTGTATCAGTGGATTGGTGTGAGGAGCTGGTACAGATTACATCATATTATGAGCCAGGAAGATCACAGGGCTCTAGTTTATCAAAAGCCAGTGGCTGGGATGCTTGATGGCTCACTCCCACTTGGAATGATCACTACATCTCCCTTCAACTAAAGGGAAACACCAGTGGAATCACCAGAGCACATACAGCATTGCAGGTGAGGACAGCTGGGTCTTATCTATATTTGTTGCTGTCAAACCACTGTGAGGTTTAGAGCTCATCACAGACCCTTTAGACTTCCATGTGCTCATCTGCAAAGTGAGGAGTTCCTGCTATGCTAGCTTAGGGAATAATTCAGCTAGAGCAGTTTAAGATTCTAGCTCAGCTTTTGCATGAAAAAAAAGAAAAAGGGGCCGAGCGCAATGGTTCAAACCTGTAATCTCAGCACTTTGGGAGGCCAAGGCAGGCAGATCACTTGAGGTCAGGAGTTGAGAACCAGCCTGGCCAACATGGTGAAACCCCATCTCTACTAAAAATACAAAAATTAGCTGGGCATGGTGGTGTACCCCTGTAGTCCCAGCTATTTGGGAGGCTGAGGCGGGAGAATCACGTGAACCCAGGAGGTGGAGGTTGCAATGAGCTGAGATCGTGTCACCGTATTTCAGCCTGGGTGATAGAGCAAGACTTTGTCTCCAAAAAAAAAAAAAAAAATTAAAAATTAAAAAATAACAGCATTTTGTGATATCTGAGTTCCGGTAACGTGAGAGGTTTCAGTCGTGCTGTCCCTCTTAACTTGTGATGAAACTGTACACACAAGGCACTAATTCTTTATTTTTACAAAATAAGATGGTGGCTAATTTGATTTCAATGGTCCAGTCTGTGAGTGCGCTTCATGATTTTTAATCCAATTAGTGTTGGAGATACTTCTGATTCTAAGGGTATCCGGTTTCTGCTTATGGTATAAGTACTATTTCCTAATGACTCATGTTTCAAGAAGGGGGAAGCTGGGGCCTATAGTCAATAAAAGGGGTCTGTTTATATGGTTGCTTTGTTTTCTGTTATTAAACCCAAGTGGCAGAAATCGTGGGTCTTGCTTTTAGCTCAGATTTCAATAAGCAGCAGAAAACTCCAGACAATTTCAGCTTGAAAGTTTGCCATACAAATTAGCATCATTTCTCAACCGGCTCTGAAAACATCCTGCTTGAAGGTAAACAAAAGCTGCCACCATGACCACCATGCTGGGGAACATTCTGGAAGTCTCAGTCCAGAGGTCAGTGGTCAGTAAGCAGTGGGCCAGCTCTTGATTTGATCTGAATTATGCAGGCAGATAAACTCCAGAGCCTGTTTCACCCCACCCTTGCAGCTCTTCTCCTTCTGTTAGACCTCAAAGTCGGCCTGGACCACTCTCCAAATAAGTAATATTTTCACTGAGAAAATTGTACCCCAAATCAAATATTCAGCTCTGTTTTAGTTGGCACTACATCCATTTAATACTCTGAAAATTCTGAAAAGAATGTGTGTTTGTAGTAACATCATGGTGCAACTTTCACACTTAAATTTTTTTCATCAATAAAACTCTTCATCACTCTCAGGGTAATTTAGTAATAAGAAACTTTTCTGTCCTTGGCTCTTGTTGATAAAAGTCACACGAAACCATCTTAGACATAACACAAGTTGTGCACTATTGCCCTGAGATAAATCAGCCTATGATCCAATTTTTATGTGACAGGAAAGTGAAAAGAAAACAGAGAATGGTGAAAATGATCGATAGGAAAACACTTTGCAAGAGCCCATCTGTTGGAGGGCATGGTTTTTTGAGCTGTGATCTGGCTCATATGATTGGGGAATAAAGTTTGTTATGAAGTGCAGTCTTGTTGAGCATTGTTCAGAGTGGAATTTTGCTAAGTACTTCTGGTGTTATTTCACAAGATGGAATTTAGTATCTCTGCTGCTCAGGCTCTCAGGTGACCAGAAAAAAATTGAGAAGATGAATCTTTCATATTTCCAGCAGGAAAAAAAAAATCCTGGGGCATCTTTACTCACGTTGCTCTCTATAATGAATCTGGCTCTGTATATTCAATTAATTATGAGACATACATGAGCCAATCATAACACTATAAAGAAATTAAAAACGAACGCTGTCCCATCAGTGAAGAGTGTGGAGCATGAAAAACATACCTTTGTTAAGAAAGTGGAAAACAGGGTGACAGGGAGTGGTCTTGAAATAATTTTTTTTGGGAATTCTCTAGGAAAGTAAAAAGAATATTGAACATTGGATCTGGGCTCATGGCAAGGGGATAGTGACAAGATTATTTCTTCTTGGCGCTTCCAGGAGAGGGAGTTAATTGGATCTGTGGTTTTTAGATTTAGTTGGTGCTTCTGGCATGGCTGCTGGATGGAGCGGGTTCTTGGGTCCATTTTCTTGCTGGATCCTGTGCCCAGTTCCACAGTATGAGAGGAAAAGATTCTGCAGTTCATCAGTGCTCAGCATGTTTTGACAGCCTGATGCAATGAGACACACATTTATTTCAGTAACACAGAAAATGTAGATGCCACCAGGCACCAGGGGAAAGATCCTTTGTGCAGACCCAGATCTCTACTGTTATCTACACTATTATCTCAAATCCAAAAGGCAAAGTGAGGAGGAGAGAAGATATAGTTAGAAAATGAAGAATACAAACTCCAACCATGAAAGTCAGGTGACCTGGACTGGGTCTTCATTTCCTTACTAATAAAGGGATATGGCTACAAAAGATCATCTCAAAAATTACAATCTCCCCCTCCTGCAAATCTCCTAGTCTAGAAGTGGATGAAAATTCTTTTTTTTTATTAGAAGGTTAAATTCCATGTGTATTAAATACCCTAATATGGTAACACATCTGTTTTTATAAATTGTAGACTTTAATTGACCTTTATAATTCAAAATTAATGATTCTAGAAAAATATTTATGATCCATTGAAAATATAAATAACTAATGGGCATCCTGATTGCATCCAAATTCTTTGGTAAGTTGTAGAGATGAGAAAATTCTATTTGCATTGCTAGTTTGCAATTTGCACCATTAGTACACTTTCTCCTAGTTGTGAGTGACTACCTTATCCAAACAGTTCAACCCTCTAAATGTCCAACACAAACTAAAGCAACCAAAGACAAAAAAAAAGAAACAACAATACGAAAGCAAAACAAGGGGGAAATATAACCCAAATTCTTGCCTCTTACATCATCTTCAAACAAGAGTATGCCTTCAGCTGTTTCCTTTAAAAATTCAGACATTTCTAGTATTTTTCATTTGATCACTCCAGACACTGGGGAAGGATGATAATGGGAAAAATGAATTCCTTCCAACTTACCTCTTTCAAGGGAGATTCCAGCAGGGCACCTGGTGGAGTTTCAGCAAGAAGCTGGTTTTCCTTGACTCTTTCCCCTTTTCTTCCCTCCCCATATCCTTGGCTTTACTCCAGAAAATATAGAGTACAGCATGATTTCTCTTTGAGGCAACCATGAAGAAAATTTGGAGAAAATTGTAAGACTTTGCATCTAATTCCAATGTAGCCATTCAAGAGCCTCGTGACTTGTGCCAGTGATCTTTGGGACTCCGTTTCCCCACCTATGAAAGGAAAAATGGAGCTATTTGAAAGGTCCCCAAGGTTTCATACAGTTCCAACATTGCTTGGCTCTGATTAATTATAAATTTTTTAGCAAGTTTCTCAGAGATTTATCTTGTTTGCAGAGCTAGAACCTTCTAGAAGGGTTAAAAAAAAAAAAAACTAGAGATGCTAACTTCATATTATGTAAAGCTATAAGTTTGGAGTAATCTTTGGTATGCCTCTTCGCCTCAATAAATAAAAATCTTTAGAGATAATTATGATTTGAAGTAAATAATTGAGCTAGTTTAGAGTTAATTAAGAAAGAAACATATCGGCTCTTAAGTATTTGCTAATTCCAAGATGACCGAGGTTTTAAATATTTAACTTGTAAATATTATGATTCAGACAAACATAACTTTATGAACAAGGAAGTTTAGGAGATTAAAATCCAGGAACACTATGCTGTAGTTGGGTCACGTTATACATTGTGCAACCTTGTGAACTCATATTCATTGTTTGGGACAAGAGACTCCAGTTAAGAATGCATGAGTTTGGGTTGTGGTAGCCTGTTTCTTCAGATTGCTGTTCATCATCGTTCCTTCCTTTGCACTTTAAAAATTCTAGACCAATCTTTAGAAAAGCTTCCCCAAATATCAACAAGTCCCTCGGTACCACTTCCAATAGGATTTGGAGCACTGATACTTTAGTTACCTGAGTACCACTAGACTCTCACATTAAGTGCAACTGTGTGTCATCCTGTGCCGGTTACTCACGCCTCTCAGCTCCAGATTCACCCTTCATTGCCCCGCCTTGGAGAATGGAGAGAGCCCTTTAAATATGTTACCTTTTCCAGCTGGTATTATACCAGACTATGTTAGTGGAAGGCGCTGGAGAGAAACTGTAGAAGGAAGGGGGTTTTCTTACTGGTTCTGGCAGCTCACTTGTCTCCTGCACCTGGCAGGGCTTCTCTAGCACCAGGTTTCTGGTGGCACCAAGGGCTTCAGCAGTGTCCAGCACCTGCAGTAAGGGTGACTTCCTCAGCCCCAAGCCTCTCAGGGTATATGGTCAGCAGCACCCAGTGGCCAAGAGCTTTTGCCTTGTTTCCTCCCAGGGCAATCTCACAGTCTGGTGTCTTGTGTCATAGAGACATCACTCCATGAATAGCTTTCCCTGGCACTCTGAAGGGAAGATTTCCAGCTGGTTCTTCTTGCATGGCACCTCAGCAGCTTCCCTGCCATCTAGCGAGCCATGGCCATGCCTTCTCCATCAAAGTCTGGAATTCAGCCCTGAGACTGAGCTGGGCGGGGTGGAGGCTGCACCTTGGGCTCTCTCCATAAGCCCTAGGTATGGCAACTGTTCCTTACACCAGCCATTCCTATTATTTCTTAGAGTTCTGTTTATCCAGTAGTAGCCCATCCCCCATGACTCTAATCTGATTTTATAGTTAATAAATCTCTACATTACACTTTTCTTATTTAAATTACTGTGTGGTTTCTGTTTCCTGATTGGACCCTGACTGATAAACATCCCAACGTGAAAACTTACTTGTATTTATGGGAAGATTGAGAGAGATAAATATTTTAAACCGTAACAAATATAGTAAAATTCATTGCCCATTTTTTAATGTT